CCCAGAAAAATTCAAGGTCAGATTGGACAGGGCTCTGAGCAACCTGATCAAGTTGAAGATGTGCCTGCTCACCACAGGGCTGCTGGACTAGATGGCCTTTAACGGTCCCTTCCAACCCAAGCCATCTGATGATTCTATGATAAGTAAACATGGTGCTGGGATCTCTTAGGAGATGGAGGAGCATTAGCTTTGAAAGAAGCTGGATGTGTTGCTTGGGGATTCCAGGTTTGCCAAATCCCTGAAAACCACAGCTTTGTGTTAGAAGAATAAGGCAGGGAGGACAAAAAAAAAAAAAAAGACATTTGCAAAGCCTGGGAGATCCTAGGGTCAGAGTGAGGTGGGGAAGAAGGGGGGTGGCCAAAGCCTGCAGGAGAACTGCCTCAGGAAGGGGACAGCATGGGAGAGCCTGTTCTGGGGGTGACTGAGGTGGGGATGGGACTTCCCCAACACAACCAGGATCTCTCTCCTCTCAGCCATCAATATTGTCACTGCCACGGAGAGCCAGGAGGGGACACCGTGTCCTTACAGCCCCATGGTCCTGTTGCCTTCTCATCCCCCGATGTAGTTCAGGCAGTCCCGGGGTTCATCCTGCACTCGTCATCGCACACCTCCACATCACACTGCTCCATGCAGAGCCTGGAGCAACACATGAGGAAAAGGATCTCCCTTGCTGGAGATCAGAGCTTGCTTGTCCTTCTTGATGAAACACAGGAAGGGCTCATGTGGCAGCAGAGCCACCTGCACGTTCCCTTTGTTACCTGTAACCAGTGCTTAACCTCTTGCCAGTTTCAGGCAGCCCCCAGGGAGGTGTACCTCCACCTGTGCTTCCCTTGATGGCTTCATGGGTGACGGGCCTCAGGGAGCCCATGGACACCTTCAGAACCCTGGAGATTTTAATCAAATTTTAACTACTTCTTCAGTAGCTTGTTCAATGTTCTTTCAGGATCTGCAGTTCAGGAACCTGGCACCAGAGGGCTCATGGAAATGCAAATGCTCTATAAGGGCATTAAGGATGCCCTATAAGGGCATATAAGGATGGAGATCCACAATATCGATTTGTGCAAGATTTGCAAGCAGTAAATGAACGTGTAATTTCACCACATCCTGTGGTACCTCATCCAAATTTGATTTTAACCCAAATACCACCATGGGGACAATATTATACTGTTTTAGATCTGATGGGAGCCTTCTTTAGCATTCCTATTGCTAAAGAAAGCCAACACGTTTTTGCCTTTACTTGGCAGGGAAAACAATTAACTTGGACACGGTTACCCCAAGGATTTACTAGTTCACCAACTATAGAATTTTCCCATATTCTAAAGAATCATTTACAAGACCTTGTGTTTCCATGTAAATCTGTTTTGATTTGATTAGGCTCATGTTTTGCCTAATGAAACTCAAGGACCACCAGACCCATAGAGCTGCTATCCACCTAGGCAGTTCCTGGAATCTATCACTGCAGAGGCTACATCCATCTCAAGGTCAGGACTTACTGGATATCATGAGGTTCCTATTGGCCCATTGCTCCAGCCTGTGTACTCGCTTGGGATGGAAGCCCTGCCTTCCATTGTAGTGTCTGCTCTCCTCAATTGGGTGTCTTCTAGAAATGTGATGAAAAACCACCCTTTCATCCCCTCTGGGTCATTAAAACCACATTTATCAGGGCAGTTTGCAGGACCAACCCCTGCAGGACCCTACTAGCTACAGGCCTGAAGGCAGAGCACCAGGCAGATGAACCACATTCTTTTGAGCCTGACCATCCAGCTGGTTTTTTACCCATCTACTTATTCACTGATGTAGATCACAATATCCTATCTTGAACACAAAAATAGAGTGTGTGTGTGTGTGTGTGTGTGTGTGTGTGTGTGCTGAAAGCTTTGCCGACTTTCAGGTGAAAGACAACCACTGCTTCTCCATGTCCAGCAATCCTGTCCTTTCCTCATAGAAAGCAAAGACGATGGCCTTACACCATCCCTCCTGGGTGAATCCAGTCACCTTCTCTTTCAGACACCCAGAAATGGGTCAGAGCCTTTAGTTCCCCTGCTCGCCATTTGGGCATTTTTGAAAGGCGCATGAAATATTTGGGTGCTTTCAGTCATCAGGGAGTTCCCCCACTTTCCATGGCCTTCCAAAGATGATGGAGAGTGACCTCACTGCCACAGCATCCTCCTCTCTTAGCTCCTTGGGATGCCACTCCTCCTGCTGAGGATCACTCATGTGACCCCTGACTTTATTCTCAGCTACTGCTGGTTGTTTTCCTCCAGAGTCCTGCCTCAAGGCACAAAAGCCCTGAGTCCTTCCT